AGAACGTTATTCGCATGTGATAGCTATGAGAGTGACTACAACACGTCTGAAAAGAATGAGAATCCATCTGAATCAGTTTGAAGTGAGCGTGTCATAGACAACAGCTTTTCATGCAATCATAATTGATTGCAGTGATCAGTAGATCATCTAAAAGTAATGCAGCATCCCAGCTTGAGAACCACTTGGTTCTAAAGGCTTAGTGTTATAAACAACTGATGGGCAACCAATGATAATGTGAATATTGAAAGAATTCAGCATAACGTATTGAATAATGCCTAGAATCTGTAGAAACTAACAAACATAATGAAAGGTTTCCTCAAAAAATATGTGACATAAAATGTAGGAACACAAAAAAATGTGCAAACTTTAAAGAAAAGTTCCTGCGATGCCTTTGCAGTGGCCACAGACGCGATACAGTTGCATTTTGCATCCAGCGCTTCTTCAATGGACCTTTGCAATAGGCAACTCCCAATACCATGTCTTCAATACCATACTTGTCAATTCTTCATTCAGTTAGCAAAAGTATTTGGTGAGTAAGATTGATAATAGTGATATGATAGTAATATTATTATCATTACTAATATCACCTCATGATAACAGAGTGATAAAAATAATTATAACAGCAGTCAGTGATTAATTGATAATACTGATGAAGAACCTTGCATAATTCGGTGATACACAAATAACGTCGATTTTGAAGATTCGCCTCGCGTATGGTGCAAACAATTTGATATCCTTATCGAGTTCACTCACGTAAGTGGCGATACGATTTGCGTTCAAACTTTTATACGAACCATTTTCGATCTCTGAAATTTCAGTTTTTGTTTGCCATTTCAAACGATGATGTTGAGATTTCCCAATGGGTGAGGCTAATTCATTTGTACCCAGCAAAATTTCAGATATAACAACAAAACATTATTTCAGATTGCTCGAGTTGCGGTTTTCAGCTTGCTTAGGGTCAGCTTTTCTGATTCAGAAACTCTTTCATTAGGGAACGTCTACTGCTTATGAAGCCTTCTCTCATTATTCCAAACACACACGATTCGATTGATTTAAGTCTTCAAAATTCTGGTTTCAAACTCCGAAATTCTTTAAAACAACATCCACTGTGTTTGTTGGCATCGTNAATTTCAATGAAAACTGGAAGAATGCAATGAGATAATCGAAAACTAAGAACAAGTAAATTTGAATTCATGAAAATCCATGAATATGAATGCATAACCTTGTTTGTAGTCTTTCATTGGATCAAAATCAGGCACACACACCGCACAAGAAGTGCCCGTTTCATAGACACTATTCAAACAAATGCCAACAAGTTCTCCATGCTGATCATGCGCAATGAATGAATGCCCTGAGATGATACCGTTATCTTTCAAATCCGTAAAAAAATCATTTAAGTCCTCCTGTGTGGCTGCTGAAAGAATTGTTTGCGATCGTTTGATTCAGTTATATTTAGGAATGTTCACGTTAATTGATAACTTTGCCGTGAATCTGATTGAAAGATTTGGTTTTCGTCTTATTCAGTAATGACTTGTAAAACATCACCAAATAATAGGCTGGAGGAATTGGATTTTATGTTATCCCACAAGAAATTTTTGACATATTCTCTATCGAGAATCATTGCAAATCACTTGAAATGGTCACATGTATCGAATTTGACTCATCTCATTTGATTTTCTGGTTTGTGATCTCTATCAGGCGTACGCTTAGAACTCAAACCCGAACTAGAGTTCGACCGTGATGCTTAAACATAACNTTTCACCAGCGATTTCGTAACGAATGCTCATTCCATTCAACGTTCTCAACATTCTTCTATAATATCTTATGCTTGCATTCATTCACTTGAGCATCCACATCAATTCGTATCTATAACGGCAATAACTCTGTTTCAATTCATTCATCTATGAAATTATTCATTCATAGCACACGAAGTACTAAAAGCACACTACATCAAGCTGAAACGTTGCGGATTTATGAATCGAGCCTGACAAATCCATGCACTGAATGTAATCCATGCAAATATTGAAGATTGTTCACAGGCAGAAAAATTGACCCAGCAGCTGATCATATGAATGCCTCAAAACGAATTCAGACATCAATAGATCAGTTCAAATGTAAGCAGTAGTGCATTAAAGACGAGTGTATGAACATTCTTACAAATCAATTGCTTTCATCCCTAAGACCACTGATATCATCGGAATCATCGAACTTCATTGAGTTCTCAAACTGCTACATGAAAAATAAATAACTCAAGAATCTCATAAACACATTTTTGTATTCGTATACGAAAAGTCTACTGAACAACGTTGCGGATAAGATGAAAAATTCAACATTTAAGAAAACGAACGAATCACTTGCTATGGGCAAGATTAAGTGCAAAGAAATAATTATTTATGACGGCTTACAGATACATAAGCATTCACTGGATGGATTTCTGGATATTGTTCAATATATATACATGTCTATTCAATATACATATTGTATATAAGCCGTTGGATATAAGCGTGAGTATGTGTCATAATGAATTGCTGCTGAATTCATTTTGACTACCAACCAATGCTACTTTTAACTAACGCCTTCGTATAGGCTGACGACGACGTCCAAACAGGCAATTTGATGAATTACTTCCGAATGTTGTGCACAATCAAAATACTCAAATTATTACCCCAAAAGACCAAATCGAACCAGAGAATTCCGCTTCAATTTTTCCGATTCAATTGTCGAACAAATAATTTTTCGATGATAATTATCAATCATTTCATGTTCACCACAACAGTCCATTTGAGAATAATGCACATTAATGTTTAGTGTTCCAGCAAAATGTCTAGCTACCTCATTAGTAGCTTTTTTCGAAGTGCTGATGAAAATTTCAGTGGATGCACAAGAAAAGTGCTGATGCAGGAATGCGAATGCAAATATGGCCTGAAGCATTACGCTTGTGAGCAATTTCGTGGAATATTGCAATTACAATTGAGAGTTGTTGATTATGCCCAAGCACACACACACACACACACAAAGCACTGAATTGAGAGCGTGGTTATTGGCGACGAAAACTTTATCTTCGATTGGGGAACACAACACTAATTGACTATATTTCTAAGAATTTCAATTTCTGCTACCACTTATTTGAGGCGAATGAATGATTTCACTAATGAGATCACCAATAATTAGTGAATAAAATTGATGTTTTGACTGATTCTGCAGATCATACCATTTTTTCTGTCACATCACATAAATGATAACCCATTATGAGGCTGGAAAACTTGAAGTAGAAGAAATTCTACAAGTTTGTTTCAAATCAAACCATTTGTGGACCTAATAGTGAGGCGCTCGTTGAATACAAACAAGTGGATTGAAATTGATCTTAATCACTTCCTAGCTTGAAGTCGGCTTCTGGATTGGTGCTGCAAAAACTAGACTGATTATATATCGCATTTCATTGGGCTTCAGTTCAGTTGAACAAGTCGTCTGTCCTGTCTCATTCGTTGTATAATTAATTTATATCTGACGCATCCCATTGAATACAATTAAGGATTGTGCTCTCATGACAAACACATATAAAATTAATTATCCACTAGCTGTGATGCGAACATACTTTACGATGGCTACAATTAAAATCGCAGTAAAAACGAATAAATGAATCATCCATCCCTCGTTCAGCTAATCAACTCATCTCTATCGGCTATGCATTCGCTTAATCAGCAATAGTAATAATAATAACTCATTATAAGTAACACATAACTGAGATATCGTCACTAACTCACAGCTGCCAACACCTCAAAAGATCAGATTAACTACCATTTATTTGAGGCGAATGAATGAGTAATACTTCATTAATAAGGTCACCAATAATTGGTGAATAGAACTGATGTTTTGACTGATTCCGCAGATCATTTGACTGATTCTACAGATCATAAAGCTCAAGATTTTCACTAGTCGTAGCCTAACCTTATCGTTAGTCTTGAGCTTTTCACCGGTGGATTTTGTTCCTATTCGGCGGCTTTTGATACCTTGAGGATATCCATATGAATGTCTCCTTCCTCTCATTACCAAGTACAATCACGATTATTATTTAATCGTTAACTTAAAGATGTGTCAACTTAAAAATATGTCAATCTGCTGAATGCCAACAATCATGTATACAACAATTGTTTAATAAGCTGTATGGCTATCGTCTAATTGTACCAATAATCGTATTCTGATGAAAATATTGGTGATAATGATAGCGATAACAATAATTATAACATTAATTATTGTTATCGCCCTCATTCCCATCATCAGAAATCACATCATTACTGTTTAGTACAACTCGGATGATTAGCACTAAGATTTTAAGTGAGCAATGTGGGTGTATAAATAGCTCGGATGAGATCAATAAATGCGATAGATATCTCTGTCACCATATCCTTCTCTCTCATCCCCTCAACATCAGAGCGTCTCAAGATTTTTGCTGCAGTTATTATGCCATTAGGTAATCATCTCATCAAATCATTCATTTAGGTGGT